TAGTATTAAAGGATATAGAGATAAGATGGATGAATTTAAGTTTGAATACAGATAAGTTGTGATCTTCTCAAAAAGCCAAGCAGGAAGTCTGGAATTCTTCAGTTCCTAACTCTCACTACCTACTTATGACTTTCATACAACTTTATGACTCCTTATTCCTTTCAAATGCCTTAACTACGTCAAAGTTTTGTATGCTGTAAGATTGTAGAGATTTGTTGAAAATTTTCTGGAAGTCCATTGACTTCTAAGGTCCATCAGGAAAATCACATCAAAATGGTCAAGGAGGTTCATTATGCGGACCTTCCCCTTTCTGCAACTTTATGGCCTGTTCTGTGGCGTGTTTGGGTGATTTAATTGTTAGAGATCAAAGAAATGCTTGTATTGATTTACTGAGAAGAAGATGAATGGTATTTAGGCTTGGAGACAATGACAGCAGTCTGAATTTACAATGTCTAGACTGTTGCTGTCAGGTTGTAAACCGTGGTACTATAAACTGACCATTTACTTCTAAAATTAAAAGGAGTTGGGATTAAGAATAGATAAGTGGCATATTTTAACTAGATACAACGTTAATGTATTTGGTGTTGCCAGGGGAAAGTGGGTAGAGAAAGCTATTTGTGATATCACGCTACGGGCTTCCCCACAGTAAGTATCAATCAGGCAGCAGTTCTGTATGGTTAGCAGAGAGGAACCTTCTTGGATCTATGACCTGTCACAGATAGATGTGAGAGACAGTCTGTAGCCAAAGAGAAATGTCCTGCAACAAATTTAAGGACTCTGGATGATCGATCCTTGCACGGCTAGGGGAAGAAGAATGAGCGGAATGGGCTGTATTGCTGGGAGTGGATTTAAAAAAACACTCCAAACACTGAGAACAGCTTGGAGACAGTCACTTGAAGATACTATGAGCAAAATTGGGATATAGGAACCCATTGGAAGCTGTGGGCTATTTGTTGTAAGGATTGTAATTCTGTGGGGAAGTGCATTGTATGATAACTGTAAAGTGGAATGTTCTTGTTGGTATTATAAAGTATATTACAAAAGGAACAATATTTAGTCAGTCGTTTTTTTTTGGTCATTTGTTATGGTAACAGTTTTACAGTGTGGTAGCTTGTCTTTCAACTAGTAATGGAAAGTTGGAATCTTTTTATAAATTATTAGTCTTTATGGGAATTGTTACATTCATCATGGACTCCACAATGGTGACTATCAGCACTCTTTTTGGATTATTTTCTCAATCTCACTTTGTAACCTTGGTAAGATGTCATGAGTCCGTGGAGATTTATGCTCTTTGAGCCTAGTCAGGAGTTCACTGAAAGTATAGCAAGGCCATTGAGATCAAATGTGGAACCTGCTGTGATGGACATGCTGCATATCAGCCAACTTGCAGTTTGGCAGTGGGTTCTGAAGAAGAGCCATGTTGGACTTGAAATTGTAACTGTGCTTCTCTGTCCTAAAATACTGCCAGACTTGCTGAGATTCCTCAGCACTTTTATTTTAATTTCAGATCTCCAGCATCTGTAGAATTTTGCTTGTCTTTTGCACTCCAGGAAAAGTGAATTGTCTTCTGAAAAAAAGCATCAGGAACTCAGGCATGCATTCTTCATAATTTTCAATTCATGAATATGATTCAATGAAGATAGCAAAATAACTTTGTGCACTGCCTACTCCAATTAATTTTTCTAGGAATTAATTTTTGTTTGGTTGACATTTTCTAGGAGGCAACAGAGCTGAGGTCAAACTGCAACATGCATGTGGCCGCAAATAACTTTTTGCTGTACTTGGGCCAACAGGACCTAAACAGTGACAGCCCAAGTACGGTTAAAGGGAAGAGTAGAACTGGGATGTGAAAGTATTCTTTAAAAGATCATGACAATTAGTCATGTTTACCTGAATTTGCTTTCATAGAATTTGACAGCCAATCTCTGAGTATTGAGCAGTGCAACAAAACAGGCTTGTCGGATTTTTACTGCAACATAACACTGTTTGCCACAAAAGTGAGACTGCTGTTTAAAAGCATAATAAAGTCATTTATATCATCCCTTTCTTCTTTTGTCATGACTGCCTTATCATCTCCAAGGCCATAACTATTTACTTTATCTATATTATCACAACCCTCAGACGGGTCTATGCAATTAAATCCATTTGAGAAGTAAAACTTGTACTCATTTATCATTGGATTATTCACATATCTAATCCCCGACTGGAAAAATATCGTAATGTACCACATTATGCACTACTTCATTTTTTAAAATCTGCAAATCATTATCAGGAAACATCCAAAAGCACAGTAATTAAGATGCTGAGTAACCTAGTAAAAGATAAAGAAAAACAAACTTGACATTCTCAGCTTCTGAAGGACATAAAATGCATTCATGAGTCAGATTTTCTCTTCAACCTATGCA